CACACGTATGCAGGACCACAAAGACATTGCATTCGTGCACATCTCATTTCAATACCTTTCACGATCACTTATTATTTACGCATTGTTACCTTACCGATCACAGACTACCTCATATTAATAGTGGCTGTTTCCCGCATTTCATTACAAACGCATGTAAACCATTCTGTTAACACATGTACATATTTGTATATCTAGCAATATATAAGCCGCGATAGCAAAGGTCTCATACCTTAGCTTCGATCTGGCATTTCTTCTGTGTCAAAAATCACGTCCAAACTGACCGGATACAGGAATCAACACCACTTTAGTTCAACTTGGACCCCCTCAGAGAATCTGCTTCTGCACATATTTTATCATTTATTTCACCCAGCCCACTTGGACTAAACTGATAGTGCCAGTCAAAATCAATATATTAAAGCTCTTAGCATTACATATCTAAATACGTTGTGAACTCTCGACAGGCGGCACGAGCTGGAGCTTGAGTCACGTGACCTTCGTAGGGGTGGGTTGAAGGACCACGCTAAGGACGGGTGGTTTAGGAGCCTGGTCTTTGGCATCCTTCCTAGTAATATGTAGAACGGCGCTGAGCGCCACGAAGGATGGCGTAGACGGGAAGAACGCGACGTGGCCCCATGTTGTGTCGGACGACGTGTATGCAATCCCGGACATCCTGTGCTGAATGGGGGCAATCAAATGTCCGTCCAGTCCAAGCACCCCTGCAGTAAATAATAATATCTGCTTTTGTGGTGTGAAGGTCTGCACCGTTAACGTTTCTCTACTTACTGAGGACGCCTCCTTGTGTCTCAACAGTCAGCGTTGCAAGAGGGAGCGGCTAATAATTTACCAGATCGTACGCTCCCGGCTATTAACCGGTTCCGATTACCCCGCATTCCGGGGCGGTCTGCCAACACTCACTTGCTCTCACCTCACCGCCGCTGTCCAAGACGATGTCGGTAGACCTTGCCAAAGCTGTAGGGCATCAGTCGCCCGATAGACCAGTACGAAGCTCTCATATCCTTGGTGAACGCGCGTGATCCGAACTTTCAGTTTGAAAGGTCGCCTGGAACAAGCGCGACCTACTGCTCTACGCTGTAGGAATTGGTGCGAAGAAGGACGACTTTCCGTTTGTTTATGGTGAGCATGAGCGTGTTGGCGAAGCGAGTTAGACTGACCTGGGTGGCACTGGGGGTTAGAACTCGGTTAGATTCGTTCCAACTTCGAGTCTGGATATGCGGAGCTCATTCTAAGTGGTTGTGTAGACAAGTCATGGGCTCCTTTCCCAACCTATCCGGTCGTTCTCGGTTTGAAAGGTGCGTTTACAGATTTGGTGTCACATCATGCCTCTCAGGATTCACGTCTTGATACCAGGGGAGGATCAGGACGTCAATCTGTTCTCTGAGCGGTCAAAGATGGAGGGCACGCCAGGCCTGCCCGCGTTTAATCCCAACCGTGTTGTCAGTACAGCATCCTAGTATTCCTTTTCTTACATCATCCAAACTTATGAGTGTAGGTCCATGGAAGCCAATTCATTGAGATTCTGAAGCCCCTGCCGCCGGTGAGCGGCGCAGGATGGAAGTTGAAGCAGAGGATATGCGGCGTGCATGAAAATAGTAAGTGGCGTTGCTAGTAGACTCAGTAATGGATTGAACATGACGCCCCCCAGAGTCTGGTATCATCGTGGACGCGGAGAATATTCTGACTGATTCGAACGGGACTGCATATGCCAAACTCTACGTCAGTCACTTCGCTATTACCTAGCACCGTATATGCAGGCTCAGACGTCGCTGGCTTATAACATAGAGTTCCGCATTCCACATCGGCTCAAAGGCCACGGGTCAGAAGTTTGACAAAGTGATCGCGGGGCCTCCGCAAGCAAAACCGATACCCAAGGACAGGAAGCCCGACTGGGTCGTCACGGACCAGACGACCCCCGAGCAAGCCATCGTCTACCGCCTCAGCGGGGACTACAACCCCCTACACATCGGTGAGTTTCCCATCAACGGCGCTCGCACTTCCTCCTCGGACCCCGCTGAACCGGAGTTACTGACCTTTCCTCTTTGCAGATCCCAAGATCGGGCAGGCAGGCGGCTTCGGCGGCTGCATCCTTCACGGGCTCTCGACGTACGGCTTCGCCGCGCGCGCGCTCCTCTCCGCGATCGGCGGGAACGACCCGCACGCGCTGAAGTTCTACGGCTGCCGGTTCACGTCGCCCGTGAAGCCCGGAGATGCGCTCGAGACGAGCGCTTGGGAGGTCGGGCCCGGGCCCGATGGGACAGTCGAGGTGAGCTTTGTGACGAAGAACTTGACCTCGGGGAAGGTGCGTGTTTCTGGGTTGCTCTTGATGGCTGGCAGTGGTGCTGAGGAGCCTCGGCGAGCTAGGTTGCCCTGGGTGGTGGGATTGCGTATATCAAGAAGGTTGAGAAAAGCAAGTTGTAACTGCGATAGGCTATTTCAGTGTGCTGCTGTACGTATGTGTAATTCTTGGGCACTGTTGGTCTTATCAGGTTCTGTTTTCCCTTGTCCGAGGTCGCCAGAATGACCTCGATGTCCCAGTATGGAAGTCTTATTTGCTTGAGTCACCATCGGGCCTGGGCTGAGCCAATAGCATGTGCCTCCATAGTCCAGATGGTAGGTATGTCCCGCGGCGTCTCCTAAGAAGCTTACCAGCGCCTCAGGAGTGTCCTCTGCATCCCCTCACATCAGAACGCGCATTCTTCTCTCCTCCTGAATCTACCATACTCGGCCGAGTTGCTGCTGCGAGCCGGAACCGATATCAGAGACAAGGTCGTGTGCGAAACGGAACAGGCTCAGCGTGGATCCGTTTGTTCGCTGGTATTTCAGCCCTTGGTCATTCTAGTATGGAAGATTCGCCGGAGGAGTGTCTGCCTGTATTGATCTCTTGTCGTCTGCTTATCCTCCGGAGGTATACTTTCGCTTCCACGTGGCGTATCTCGGACGCGTGCCTACGGTACATCGTGTTCTCGCGCGAAAGAAGCAGAGGTCTCCTTCTTTCGGATGCTCCTTGTGATCATATCGTCCCGCCGGATGACTTTCTGTGAGACACCGCGGAAGTTATTTATGCTATTTGGGGGTTTCTAGGGACTTTGGCTTGTGCTGCAACATGGTGATGGACCCGGAGATGACGTCTCTGTCTTCGAGCAGTGTTGGTATCTGCTCTGGAGGTTAAAAGGGACGGACCTGGCGACGCTGGTGCCCCGAAGTCTCAACGTCTGAATCTGACCCAGCTACGCGTCCGCCATGCCCGTAACGACTGTGTCCATTAGCAAGCACACCACTGCGTCTCTTCCCCGGCCTCATGTGCTGTACATTGTAGATGTGAAGGAGGGAAACAGGAGCTATGCGGTTACCAGACGTTACTCAGAGGTAAACAAGCGTGCTGGGTTCTGATACTTGCTCCCGTCTTACAAGGATACACAGTTCGTAGCGTTACACAGTCAGCTGGGTGACCCATTTACGCTTCCTCCCAAGCGTCTCCTGGTTACCACTTTCTTGCCCTCTGCATGGGTGGATGACCAGCTTATCGCCGAGCGCAAGGCCGGGCTCGCAAAGTACCTGGCTGACCTGCTGTCGGAAGAGTCATTTCGATCGGACCCAGCGTTGCTGAACTTCCTGTCAGCCACCGGGTCCGGGAGTACAAGAGCCTTCGATCTCGAGGATGCCCTCCCATCCACCTTGCCTCGCAAAGCTGCCATGGTTCTACTCGGAAACGTCGAAGCTAAAGCGACTACCCCCATTGCTGCCGCTTACTACCCGGACTGGGTGGGTGACAGCAACCCGCCAGAGAATCTCGACTACTCCAAGTTCGACATTCTCTTGTTTGGTATGCCTTATGGCGGTCGCTCCCGTTCACTGCTGGTGGCTGACATGGTTATACAGCCTTTGCGACCCCCAACTCGTCCTCGACTATTTCATGGGACAGTGGTGCCACGAGCCTCTTGAAACGTCTCGTGTCAGCCGCCAACAACAGTGGTCATGGAACGAAAGTAGTGCTCTCCATCGGAGGGTGGGGTGGCAGCTACTGGTTCTCCAACGCGATGAGCTCTTCATCGAACAGGACCTCGTTCGTCAATGCTTGCGTGAGCGCGGTCAACACGTATGGTCTGGCTGGTACGTTGCTTTACGTTACCCTTTCTTGCGTGACTCGTTCTCTCACAATACTTACTTTAGGAATCGACATTGATTGGGTAAGGCTCAGGACGGTATTCGAGGCGGCTGACACTGACCGAATTTCTAGGAATATCCCAACGAATCCGGCGCCGGGAACCCCTACTCCGCGTCGGATGCAGCAAACCTGCTCAGTTTCTTCCAACAGCTCCGCTCCTCGCTCGGTTCGTCCAAGATCATCTCTGCGGCTGTCACCCAGCAGCCCTGGATCGGCTCGAACGGGAGTCCGCTCAGTAACGTGAGCGCGTACGCGTCGGTCATGACCTACGTCAACATCATGTAAGTTGCTCTCTCCAGCCGAGGCCTGGTGTATTGCTCAATTATTTCACCAAGGAATTACGACGTTTTCGGCGCGTCATCCAACCCAGGCCCCAACGCGCCCCTCGGGAACCTCTGCAGTACCTCCTCCCAGCCCCAAGCCTCGGCTGAGGCCGCGTTCTCGGCGTGGACGAAGGCAGGCATGCCCGCGAGCAAGCTCCTGCTCGGGCTCCCGCTGTACGGGTACGTATCGAAGAGCACCGCGACCCACCTCTACGGCACGTACAAGCGCCCGGGCAAATCCATCATGCGCCCGTCAGAAGAGGTGCGCCGGGCTATGGCGTGCAGGCTGCCGGACATTGCGGAGAAGGAGGTGGGCGATGACGGGGAGGAAGAGGGGGAGGTGAAGTTGAACGCCCTTGCCGGAGAGCACGCAAGGTACAAGGGGAAGAATAGGGCGAAGGAGCCCATGGTGTCGGCCAAGGCTGCGGGTGACCTGAGCTCGTATTACGGGCAGCAGATCGCGTTCAACCAGATTGTGGCCCTTGGTGCGTTACAGAAACAGTCGAACGGGACGTACACTGGCGCAAATGGGTATACTATGGGTAAGCACTCTGCTCAGGAGTCGTGTAGCGTGAGGCTGACTAGGAGTCTTCACAGGATGGGACGACTGCAGCGATACTCCGGTAAGTCATCGCCCGCTATGTTGTGTCGGGCGTCCGTTGACGGTCGCTTCTTTACAGTTCTTGTTCAATACGTCGCGCTCTACCGTGGTCACCTATGACGATACGTACTCCCTTGGCGACAAAGCTGCGTACGCGAAGCAGCAGGGGATGGCGGGCTGCTTCACATGGTCGCTCGACCAGGTAGGTTCCAATATGCCTGTCTGCATCCAGCGATCGCTCACCGTGCTTTGTGTAGGACGATGGGTATACCTTGCAGAACGTTATCCGGTCCAATCTGGGGAAGTAGATAGTACGTCAGTGGTCCGGTCTGTCATGAGTCTTTGTCTGTAGTCTATGACATGTCACGACCTGTCATGATCCGCATTACATCTACAGTGTACACGAACGGTCTGTAGCAATACATTATCTCTATGTATACAGTATTTGTCGCATCTAGTATGGCCGGTTCCTTGCGAGACCGAACTTCTAGTGAATCGTACCGACCGTAAGAATCGTGCAGTAGTGTAATTTTGCAGTCTAGAAGCTGAGATGTGTAGACGTATAAGGCCGATGTTTCCATGTGCATCAGCATGGACATTCACGATAGAAGAAGTGCGACCGCTGTTAATGCGCTGATAAACCAGATTCAGACTAATCATAGCATGAGTAGGAAGCGGTCGACTCACGCAGATGAGAAGAACATCAGGACATCTGCGGTCGACGTCAGTTAAATGTCAGGAAGAGGAGGTCCGACAAGCTCACACTGAACGAGCAGGAACGCCTGATAAACCCGTTTTTCAGCGGCGGGGAAGCAAAAACGGAGAGCAACGACGTACTGAAAGGGTATCAACATCCCCATCGGGGGCATACAGCGAGGCAACGATCAGTTGACTATTGGGACACCCGCGTTAGCGTATGAGAGAAAAAGGATCATGATTATCCTTTCTCACTTCACCGCAGCGGGGGTGCCGCTCAGCAGCATACCCACGAATTTTTCGGCTCTAGCGTTTCGGTCTATGAGGCCGCCGTGCACCATGGCTTGGACGATAATGACGCCGATGACAGGAAGCAGGAACATCTTCGCCGCTGACACAGCGAGCATCGCGGGGATGGGGAGGCGGGAGATGGGGCGGGGTATGCGGAGACGCGCGAATGACGCCCCGAGGAGAATCAAGGCCAACGGGATGGCGATTGATCCGAGGAAGGTAGCTAGCCGAGGGGCCCAAGTGGTAAATCCATGAGCAGGGTGGAGGTGTGGACCACCACGGTAAGGGATTTTCGGGAAAAGACTGCTGCTCACCTGTATCGATGATAAAGGCAAGAGGCGGCTTTCCGTCGGGACCAGTCCATGACGGTCCGCCTGAGACAGGGACGAAGAGGGCTTTCAGTGGATTGACCAGTGCGATGGGCAGAGAAACAGCCAGTGTGGCTGTAACCGGAGTGATGACGGCAGATACAGGCTTAAATACTCTAAGCAGAAGTGGTGCGACGAAGAAGCGGGCGCTCTCATCCCGTTCAAGTGCCGCTGTATGTGAAGAAGCGATAGATGGGGCGGGGGCGGGAGGTGGTGATGTGGAATGCGGGGAGAGCGTAGGGACGAAGGGCGGTTGAGGCTGTGGTCTGAAAGTTGGGAGTTGGGGCTGGCCAGAAGACAGCCGTCTTGAACGGAAGGAAGTGGAAGATAGACGAGATGTCTGTCTGACCAGCTGTATGTCCGGATCTGCGTTAGGATGCTTCTCGAAAGCGGGTGTCTCCTTGGCATCTATGGGTATCTCGTTCTCCAACGTAGCGATGTCAGGCGTATGTAATGTTTCCTTCTCTTTGCCCTGTGCTGGCGTTTGAGTATGCGGGTCACGACGAAGAATCGTCCGCGCGATCCAACCGCCGATTGGCTTCTCTTTCCAGGACACACGGCACTCTGCCTCTTCTCCTTGAGGCACTCCGGGTAAGTAATCCCAGCTTAGCGACTTCGCGCCCCTGAGAAAATACTAGAATCATGACACCAGCTGCCAGTCGTTCATAAGAGCTTACCCGAAAACCCAAAAGGTGATATGATACGACACGATGAATATTGACACGAAAGATACTCCCACTAAAATATGGTCAGCTTGTCACTTACAAGGAGGTCGTCCGAGCACATACGTTCGGGATCTGTGTTGGGGTCGAACGGAGCCTGAGTAGTAACGCTAGTTACAATGGAGTTGGCTTGAGGGAGGTGAGACCGAGGGAATTCAACTGAGACCATTGAACGCACGCAGATTGCCCCAGTTACTCATCCCACACATAATCACTATACCTTGCCAGAAATTGCGCGGGACGTAAAAGATCTCGCGAATTATGTACCCGAATATAAATCCGAGTATCTGGTAAGTATACGCAAGAAGCATGAGCGGACCAATAGCCGCTACATTGGCGGGAGTGAATGCCGGGACGATGTTCGCGAAGATAAGACACGGGAGGGAGATGTTCATCGTAACTTGCGACGCTCCCCTGGACGCCGCTGGGGGAAAGAGATCCTTCTTGGCGAGTACGAAGCCAAAGAATATCGTGAGGAACCTAGAGTAAGAGTTTGTTAGGATGCTGGAGTCATAAGTACATGACGATCACGCCACATTTTGATCAGAGGCATGCACCCGCTGTAAATCAAGAACGCGGCTGACGCCATGACAAATGAGCGAGAGACCTGTATCCCCGCACAGTGAGGAGTGGAAGGAACTTCGACGGTCCATTGAGCTCTAGCAGGCTATATATACGCGAGCGACCAGTTATCGCTGAACCGCCGGATAGGGGGCCGGGATGCCGACCACGTGGATCGAGAATTCGGCGGTGTATCGGCCCTCGAGGATGGAACTCGTGAAGCGCCGTCTGGCGCCGGCAACTTACCCCTCCTTTGTTCAAGAAATCGACCTTGAGAACTTGCACTAAGCTCAAGATGTTGCGGCTGCTACAGGGGGTCGACAAATCATCGTAAGGAGACTATTTCTACCATGTAAGATAATACAAAGGATATTGTTAGTAATATAGGGGACCTAAGTTTTCCCCGGGTCTCTTTCATTCAAGCTCCATCTAGTCTAAGAGATACTTACCCACTCTCCAAGAATGCCTGATGGTGCATGTCTGTTGCCTGGACATCTGGCATCCACTTCACATCATAGTTTTATCTTACAGTCTGTTCGGCCTCATAAGCCATGGAATGACATGGATTTTCTACTTATTTGTAAATTGTCCATCACAGATTTACATATGGCATGGAGACCCAGAAAACTTGAATGATTGAATACCCATGTTAGATGGAGTGCACATACACTCAAATCCTTCTCAAGCCATGACATACAACACTCAAAAATTCTGAGGTACAAGGATCTTTGCTTAATACTATGCGCTCCCTGTAGCTCTAAGTTCTAGCTCACAATAGGCCTTCATCTGTACCTGGTGGCATCCACAAACCAACACTAATTACATAGTTGAGCGGGACTTAAGGCTCCGTTCGGTTGCACAGCCGCGTCGCGGCGCTCTCAAGGCGCCACAGCCAGCTCGGCCGCGTGGCAGTGCTTTTAGTGAGACACGATTGGCTGAAAGACTGTTTTGGCGTCGTTGGCCGCGACACGGCCATGCATCCGAACGGAGCCTAAGTATGAACATTGAGATGGATTCCCGACCAAGGCCACACTGCGGGAGTTGCAGTCTTTAGGGGCGGGCAAAAGATTGTACGAAAGGGAATTCCGCGGGCTCTAATCGGCTGGAAATTACCTTTCATACAATCTTCTGCCTGGCCCTAAATACTGCAACTCCTGAAGTGCCAAGTCCTTGTTCAGTAGTGGCACCACTAGGGCCAAACATAGCACGCCGGATTTTGCCGGTGCGACAAAAAGTGCGACGCAATTCAAGGATGCCAGAACCCCTCCCAAAGGAGGGGCATACCTGTAATGTTTTGTGGATGGGTGGCAGGTTAATTACGTTGAATCCATCGCCATCGCCCTTCGCAGACACTCACGATGCAGAAGTAGCCGACATCATGAGGTATCGTGGTAGTCATTCCAGTTAACAAGACGTAAAACAAGTTTAGGCTGAGACTTGAAAGGCGGCCTGTACGAAGATAACTTTGCAGGAACTACAGGCCGAGAAGGGCATGCCGAGCGAGAAGAGTGTATGGAGTATGTAGTTCCTATGGCCCGTCCCAATAGACGCGGAGAATGCGGAAATAAGGCGCGGCAGACCAAAGGGCATCCAGGGAGGCAGCGCTCTGGCCCACTATGCGTTTTGAGTATTCGGGATTAGGTGATCGAACAACGTCCCTAGGCTTTATGGACACCGCGAGTCCCCGACACACTCATTCTTGACCTGCGGATACACTGAGGGCGCGGCACATGCGAGGCATGCAATCGGCAATAGAAAACAAAGAATATCGCGATAGCGACGTCAGATCGGGGAGGTGAGAGCGTATGTCAATGAGACTACGGAGGTGAGGTCGCATAGTCTCCTTGCACTCGTATGTGCAGGCAACTATGCACCCTGCTGCCGGGTCCCATTGGCATTGATGTTAGGAACACAGGATATATGGAGATAGAGCCACGACTTTCTTGACCTTCATAGCCGTCGTGACTCGACTTCATACACATAGGCGACTGTCAAAACAGAGTGATGCGTCCTCTTTTTCCAAAATTTTGAGACTCGCGTATCAGCGGACAATAAACGCGAATATGATGAGGGGCGTCCAGGAGCTGAGCATGAAATGGAAGAAAACAGAGAGAAAGAGAAAGCACTGGCAGCTGTGTTTATATTTCGGATATGTATTGTTATGTACATATTATTGCTTTCTAATGGCCATATATGGACTAAGAAATAATATGAACAATAAATGCACCATCTATTATTAGCGCACCGTTACGCAGGACGCGTTCACTGCTGTCTACGTCCGTTGCCTTAAGCTTGCTCGTCAGTTGACGCGTCTCAGCTGTCCCAGTCCGTCACAGTTCGCGACTTGCATTTCTTGAACGTGAGCTGGCTGCGTCTCAATTGCACTTGGAGGGGTTGGCATTCTTCAGAGGTTTCTATGCTGTCCCGCACGGCCTCGGAGGCTTCATTCATCCTCGTCGGTCCTGATGCTGCTGAGGCGCTTGCTGGATCGCTGAAGAGTGCGGAAAAGGATCAGGTAGGTTATATACGACTCAGTCTATGCGCCTCATCGTAAGACTATTCGTAGCCGAAGATACACCCGTCTGCACAAGCGACTTACCAGCCAGGGTCATCACAAAGCTATGCCCATGACTGGTCTGCGACAGGAACTGGGGGGATCCTTCTTCCTCACGGGAGGCACTTTATAGACGCGTTTGGACGGGTATGCAACCTTAGAGGTGTGAATCTGTCTGGTTGCAGTAAAACGTACGTGCCACGTTCCCGCTGATGATCGATGCCCGGGAGGAGGCAGTAATGGACAACTCTGACTTGAGTTAAGCCCAGTCAACGATGATCACGATCTATTTCCCGCCCACACGAGTGCTGTTACGTTTGTTGGGAGACCTTTCCCTCTCGATGAAGCGCATGAGCACCTGTCTAGACTGCGCAGATGGGGACTGACGTTCAGTATGTTGAGCGTGTCACCAGTCGTGCGTGAGGCTCATTTTCTTTCCAGTCAGATTTATTGTTACATGGGAGGCTGTTGAGCACGCGGGCCCGTAAGTCATGAACGTTTATATACTGTCAAGTGCAACCATCCTGACAAGTTTACAGCGGTATCTACGACACAAACTATCTAGAATATCTACGCAAAGTTCTGTCTCTTCTCCCTAACTATGGTATGACTGCATTCGTCGCGATGCACCAGGACGTATGGTCGCGGTACTCAGGCGGGTCGGGCGCCCCTGCGTGGACTTTGGAAGCTGTCGGATTTGACTTGATGAACCTGGAAGAAACGGGCGCAGCCTGGCTGGTCGGCGTCAAAGGCGGAGGCCACGTCGAAGTAGAGAGGGGCATCTGGCCGTGCGGCTATCAGAAATTGGCTGCCTCGACCATGGCGTAAGTTGAACTGCTCCCTGTGTTATTATCGGGTTGGCTAACGAGTGGTGACTTGTAGAACATGTTTCTGGGCAGGTGATACGTTTGCTCCGAAACTCCTGATCAAGACTGGGGATGGGTCAGAAGTCCCCGTCCAGCAATTCTTGCAAAACGCCTTCCTGAATATGTGGGAGGTTGTTGCAAGGGCTGTGGGTGACCTACCTGGTGTCCTCGGGTTCGAGGTACGTGGGGGTAGTTACCTACACTAGAATACATAATTGACCTCAAATAATCGACAGATAATGAACGAACCCCACAGAGGATACGTACAGCTACCCTCTCTGCACAAATTCGATTACAATACCGACCTCCATCTCTCGTATGTCCGTGAGTGAGCGTCTAGTCGTCCCGAAATTCTTTACGCCTATCCCATCTCTGCAGCCACTGCATTTCAATCCTTCACGCTCGGCGCAGGCCACCCGACGTCCGTTGGGCACTGGACGCGCTCCTTCCCCTTTCCGACACGTCGCACAGGTGAGGGTGTACTCAACCCGAACGGTAAGAAAGCCTGGCGGGAGGACGGGCCGACGCAGGGCAAGTGCCTCTGGGAGATTCACGGCGTCTGGGGTTGGGACCGGAACAAGAACGAGGGCGTCGTGTTGAGGGAGAATTACTTCGTCCGGCACCCGATGACGAATAAGCCGGTGGGTGGTCTTGCTTGCTGGTGGGCAAGCACGGGATGGGCGCTGATGCCGGGGTAGATTGATTGGTATGAGGACTTCTATTATCCATTCCTCCAGAAATGGGCGGACCGGGTGAGGAAGTTCACGGGGGACGAGAAGATGGTTTTTGCCGAGCCTATACCCAACGAGGTATGTGACCCCCTGTAAGATCCTGAAATTCGTGTCACCAGGCACCTGTTGTTGTAGTTTTGTCCTTCGTCATGGACCGCGAAACACCGACCCTCTAATATGGTCTATGCGCCTCATTGGTATGTTTTCTTCTACTGCTCCCCAATTCAGACCTAATTTTGGTTTAGGTATGACTTGAATGCGCTGTTTACCAAAGCTTTCGGGAACTTCACCGTGAATGTGCAAGGACTGTCGAGGGTGCGCCCGTAGCTCGTTGAGAACTGACTTTTATCTAACGTGGTCCCTCCATAATGCAGGGCATGTTTCCCTTGAAAGCGTTTTACTGGGGACACAAAGGCGCTCGGGATAACTTTTTTGTGCAGATCAGGAATATCATAGAGGCTGGGTATAAAACGCTCGGCGAGAAACCGGTGATCATTGGAGAATGCGGTATACCCATGGACATGAAGTACGTGTCATGTAGTGCATGACTCGTCCTTGCTGAGGGGTGCTGTAGTAAGGGCGAGGCCTTTGAGACGGATGACTGGTCTTGGCAACTTAAGATGATGGACGCAATGATGACTGCGCTGGAGCGCTGTATGGTCGGATTCACGTACGTTGGCTCATTGCTTCCTTGGACCCCGTTTACTAAAGTTGGCACGGACAGCCTGTGGAACTATAACCCGTCGAACACTGACCAGCTGGGCGACGACTGGAACGGCGAGAACTTCTCCTGGTTTAGTCGATCAAGAGCCCTCCCGGCGTCTTTGCTGTCGTTTGAGCAGACCTCGCCTACCCTCGACAACGGTGGGCGAATACTGCCTTCCATCGTGCGACCGTACCCGGCCAAGACCGCCGGCATTCCTCTGAAGTTCGAGTACGAGATGAACACGGGCGCGTTCACGTACGAGTGGGCCAATCCGGACGCGTCCGCCTCCGCCACAAGTAAACCCTCTGTATTCTCACCCCCGCTTGGAGGACATCCGATACTTGCTGCGATGGAAACCGAGATCTACGTCCCGTCCTCCCTGGTGCATGGGAGGAAGCTTGTGGTGGAGGATCTGAGACCGGATGACAAGTATATCTATGACGAGGCGAGGCAAACGCTGTTCGTCGTGACGGCGGACGTGAAGCCTGGGGCCAGGCATCGCCTTGCCGTTTCTCTTAGACCACCCATACGCCCGACGTTTGAGGTCAATGATTTCATGACCGACTATGGTGGGCAGGTTATGGCTGCCGGCGTTGTGGTGTTTGCTTTCTTTGCTTATCTCTTTGTGTCGCTCTTCCGATAGAGGGTTCGTGCTCTTCATACTGGATATATTCGCTAAAAAGTACAGGTTGACTTATAATAATACTGATGGTACACCCGTGGACTTTGTTGCCCTAGGGAGGGCAACAGCATGCTAGCATATCTCCTCTGCTTCAAGCCGATTCGACATTGAAAGTCGTAAGTATCGTATCGTTTCCACTGGCTGCGGAATTGTGGCATCGCCAGATAAGGAAAGCGGGGTACCTCATTTGTCACTGACAGCAGGCTTCGTCGCTCACTCGACGTCTTTGGATGTGACGCCGGTGAAAGGACTCTGTTCAATACCAGACATGGCGTCTGCGGCCGCTTTCTTGTGCGACTCATCTGCGTTCAGCGTCTTCAAAAGCGACTGAGACGCGCCACCCGTACGATTCGCCTTCACCGCCTTTTCTCCCTCTGTATATAGCGAAACCTCGAGGCTGGGATGTTTGGCGATGACTGGAGAGTCGACGTTTACTTTTGGGCGCAAATTGTCGGAGGAACGGGGTTAACGCTTCTCCTGTTGACGATGCTGTGGCCGAATGCGAAGAAACGGTATGTCTTCTCTGCGTTGGCTCTGTAGATGCAATGCTGAAAGTACATTATCGTAAGGAATCCTGTGTTGATCTCGCTATGCTTCTCCTGGTGGCTGTCTACTTTCCCTTGCTTGCTCCTCTTGCAAGTGTAGTCCTGTTTGTGGCTCTCATACTCCCAAAATGACTCGAGATATTATACAGGTATTATGCCGGTGAAGTCGTTGGACCTGCTCCGCGTCATTCAATATGTTTGGCGAGCGCCTCTCTTACCATTGCCCAATCACCGTTGTAAGTACCGACTATGTGCTACTCAACTCGTCGGCTTACGCTAAGATTGGAATATTCCCGACAGAACAGCGGTATCTGCGACATCCTTGGTCTTCCACGTACGCTCATTTACGACCCCTATCGCTGTAGCGAACCATAAAACTATCCTTACGCGTGCTTATCTTAGATTTGGTTCACAATGCGTGACGCAGTGGACCCGAAGGGGCCGCTGTCTTATCGCAGCTCCCTGGAGACGATTTCCGTGAGTACATGGAGCAACGTCCTTCTCCACTCGATTAACTTACCGTATTGGTTCGTGTTTGGTCAGCTGGTCATAATGCCGTACCTTTGTTTCGCCATCACGGCCTTGACCACCCTATTAGTGAGTAGGCACCCCAAGCAGTCACATTTCCTATTCAAGTGCCGCCTCAGGTAGGATTCCTACACCCCTCCAGTGTTCATCGAGTTCTATTTTATTGCATTGTCGATATCCCCGCTCTGTAAGTGTCATCCAATCAAATCAAATTCAAAAATATCAGCTCAGGGAGGTATTCCAGAGAAATGGCGGTCAGCATCGTCTGTCTGGTGGCTCTAGTCGTTGCCGCAATCTTCGGCTGTACGTACCCAGTAAGCTCTATATGACGCTGAGGTGCACTCGTGTCTGATTATACCTCTTCATCTTATAGCGTGGACTTCCATACTGCTGGCCAGGAACTGCACCACAGTCCGAGAACATGGTGTTGATTTCACGTTTATGTTGCGAGTGTTCGCGTTTGGGTTATACGTCGTCTTGGGCCTATGTCTGAACGGCCTCGCCATTTCCGACTGGACCAGCGTACGTGTCTTCTGCTCTCTAGCTGCGTCTGCTGATGGTCTTGACATGTAGCCGCTACCGGACCTCTTCCTTTCCACTTGTGAGTGTCCTTTTCATTCGTTGCATCTAACTTTGAGTTACATCCTGCGTTGCAGTCAGCATAATTGTCTGCCTTATATTTGGCAGCCAGCGGGTAAGTACCTTCCTAGACGCATGACTGGCATCCACGCCTTCATCCCATTTCATGCTGGTTATTTCACAACTCAAAACTCGTTCAAAAACAGGACATACTCATCACCTGGCAAGACGGGGTTGCTCAATGCGTGACTTCTCTATTCTCTTGCTGCCTCTCCTTTGCCTGGAAGCTCTCCTCCCTCAATCGCAGCGGCCATGGCCATGTGACACCGCGCATCGACATCATGGTCGATGTGCAGACTGCCACCCAGACGAGCCACGGCTCTTCGAGCTTTGCCACGCTCACACCGTACCCATTCCATTTACAGTCCCAGCGGTGCGAGAAGGGTTCTAACGTTTCTTTGGCTCGTTCGGTTGGGCGGGCCATGGACGGGAATGGCTCCGGCTCTTTGTGCAACGCAACACCTCCGATTCCAGGGTCTACCTCGCCTAACTCGGCGCGCGACCTCTCGTCCTAATTGTCTCGCCGCGTCAAGACAGCTCCGTATTGCGATAATTACATAGAAGATACCCTTCGAAGATACCTCGCTTGTCACGACGCCAGACGTTCTCGATGTACCTTATTCGGACTCGTAATGTTCTGCTGTGTATTTTCGATCTGTTACCGTGGCGCGTTCACGTACGACTTATGTCTCCATGCCTTAGTGTATCATGTAGTCGCTCTTAAGGCGATAATATCGAGTGTTGTGTGTTGTACTGCATTGTGGCTCAGGAACGGATTTTGCCGCAGGGTTGTCAGTGACTACGTTAATACTACGTTAATACCGTGGGAGTGACCAACTGACTGTTGTGACGGTAATTTGGTCAGTAGTCACAGTATTTATGGTGGCTGAGGGCCTGGGCAGCTGGGTACAACTATTATTTCGTGCCTGTGGTATACTAACCAGGATCTAAGTGGACGTAGTGGGCTCTATAATGTATCTTAACGCCAATGCTAATCTTTTGCATGCAGAGCAGAGCCCATAACCCGCTTTCAACCAGTTTAGCAGGTTCATATTGGTGTAGTTGCGGCAAACGGGAAATGCCAACATCCTTGCCCGTGGCGTGCGAAACATCACGCTAAATTTAATACGGCGGAACATTCCGCATCTTCCCTTGCTATTTTGAGCTCCGTTGCCCTGCTAGCGAAAGGACTGTGACTACAGTGACCACGTGGTCATACCTAGTAGTTTCGGTAATAACTGAAGTCATTTCGGTCACAGTCACGAATAATGACTATGACGCGCC